TGTGTGTGTGTGTGTGTGTGTGTGTGTGTGTGTGTGTGTGTGTGTGTTGCAGTCTAAAGGCTGGATGGAGCCCCCCCCCCCTGTTTTTTGACCTTTACTTGTCCTAACCTGCTGCGATGAGTCGTCCGTTCAGGGCTGCAGTGCCCAGGCCGGAGCGGGCGTAGTGCATGGGAGACAGGGGGTGTTCTTCCAGATCCTCGGGCGGGGCCTCGAAGCTGAGGCTCTTCATCAGGCAGGGCGTGGCAGAGGGAGACGTCTGGGGGCTGCTGCGACCGTGCAGGAAGATCACACACAGCACTCCATCCAGCACAGCCAGACACAGATAGTTGTTGTCTAGAGGGGAGATTAGATTAGAAATATCAGCGCCTCAACACCATTCACTCGAACACGTAGTCCACAAAACACTTGATGGGTGTTTTATTCTCTTCATTGTGAGAAATTTTCCTCCCCACAAAAAAAATAAATAAGAATTTGGGAAAGTGGAGAAACCAATCATATGGAGATGAAATGCACACTCACTTGCGGTCTTCTCAGAGGCGATGTACTTCCACTCTCTCCTGGCGGTCTGCTTTGGGGCGTTAGCTGCTTGGTTGGAGGGTGACAGGCTTCCTGAGGAGCTGCAGCTCTGCTGTCTCTGGGCGCTCTCCCTCACGGGTTTCTTCTGCAAGAGCACAACGCAGCTACAGAAGCCGAGCTTGCACCACAGGCCAACCCGCAGCCGCCTTCAGCTGGCTAAAGGCCGCGACTACGACCCGGATCCCGCCGGACTGACTACGCTCACCGCGTCCGTGCCAGTACGGAAATCCCCGCAGTGTAAGGGCCAAACGCTACGCTGCAACCTACACTCAGACCACACCAGCGCATCCGATGGCACATAAGCGAAAGCCCAAAATGGAGGATGAGGGCAGACACACCCATTACTGCCCACAAGCAGTTAGATGTAGCAGGCTTAAAAATCAGTGTGGTTTTAAATATGCACTGGGCAGTATCCACCACAGCTCATGGCTTCCCATGCCAGCGCTTAGACTATAATTATGGGTATAAATGAGCTACATATTTAAGGAAGGCTCAGTTTGAATGACCAGGCAAGAGGGTTGAAAAATAAACTTGCACGCTGCCTAGCAAACGGTGGTGGGCTCTGTTACCGCTACGCCGGACACAAGCGGCTCAGTACCTGCACAAACTGAAGGTGGTCTTCCTCGCCACCAAACACCTCACTGTGCCCTTCAATCACCAGCGCTCCATCCACAAGCTTATGGTCAGGTGAGTAGTAGAGCGTTTGCACCTGCAACACAAACAGGAACAACACACCCATGGGGCTGTCTCCAAGGCAACACACTGAAAACCCCAGCTTAAGAGGGGGGGGAAGAGGAGGAAGGAGGAGGGCGGAGGTGGAGCTGTGAAGAAGAACAGGGGGAAAGGACGAACACTGGGCCCTTCCCTCGATGGAAGAATTGGTTCCTTTAAAAGATACGTGCTGCTGCCACCCCACCGAGTGGATTAAGTGTCTGAGCTCAAGAGGGGAGCTGCTGAGTGGGTCAGAGGGTCTCCTTAATTTGCATCTATAGAAAAGAGGGAACTTGTGAAAATTGAGATGCTGCATCTGGAAAGATCTTCAGGGAAGACAAGGAGCTTTAAGTGGCCTTCTTTCCGTCTTTGCTGCTTGGAAACTGGTCCTTTAGCTGAAGAGGTGGGTCACTGTCGTGACAGCCAAATCCCGATGGCAAACGGCAGCAGGCAAATGCTTTAAGGTGGTCCCACAATAACTCCCGAGGCCCGACAAAATAATACAAGTAACAGCACTGTCCATCTTGAGGACAAATCAAAAGGCGTTTTAAAAAAATCAAAGGGAAAAAAATCTCTTTTTTTTTGTTTGCTTAAATGGTAAAAATTATTATTAAAATCAATTTGCTGAAATATTAGTCCTGGTTAAATCCCAATGTGCGTGTTCAAAGCTCTTCGGTCCAAAGGCTTATTTCAGGGGTTCGACAATGAGTCGGTGCATTTTGGGGGTGTAAAAGTGGCCTTTGGAGTATTATTTTGATTAAAAACGTATGTGCGATTAGGACAGACTCATCTGTCAGTGCTGAGTGGACAGATTGGGGCACAGTGCTGCTTGGCTGAAAAAAGAGAAGCTGCTGAGGAGCAGTAGTTTTCCTCTCCTCCCTCTTTTCTCTGACTCATTTACCCTGGTGGCTCAGTCCTGGGTCCTCAGTCTGGTCTCCTGCTGCTGCTAATAAACCTACAGGAGAGATAAATCAACGGGGAGGAGTTCCTGTTAGTGCTGGAGCAACAAACTTCCACCTGTTCAGATAGTAAAGTGGCAGTGAAAAAAACAGAATCAAGGGCCAGACCTTTGAGAACCTTTTGTGTTTCAGATGAGACGAGCCCTGTAATATTCACACGGGGTTGTATGTAAACCAACCACAAAATTGAAAAAAAGAAAAAGAAAAAAAAAAAAAACAAGCAAACAAGACCAAACAGCAGCTGCTTTTGGCTCACCTCTAATTTGAAGTATGGATCAGGGATACAGTTTCTTACTGCAAAACCTCAAATCAGAGGAAAACAAAGAGCAATCCTGACAGCAGCATGGTGATACTGGCATGCCATTTCTACCTCAGCCCCCTTAACGACTTCTTAATGTCAAAAACAGGAGGGGTGGGAGGGAAGGGAAGGGCAGAGTGAAGATGAAGACCAGTCTGAGCTGATGGTACTGTGCGTTTTGATACTGACCTCCTCCATCAGTCGATCCAGTTGGTCTCCATTCTCCCAAAGGCTGCGCTGCACCCAGTTGAGAACCTTGGAGTAGAGCTTGCCATTGCTGGGCAGAGTCAGGTTGTCTTCTAGCATCACTTCCAACTGTAAACGCATTAGGAGAGGGTCAAAAAGGAGTTAGATCACACTTCATTTATTTGTTAAAAAAAAAAAAAAAAAGTTCCTCTACTTTAACTGCATTATTTTGGGATGGTCTATCACATAAAATCCAACTTAAACAAAGTTATGTATGTGGTTGTAATATAACTGTATATAGGATCCTACATAGATTGTAAGACTTGGAGACTTTGGCTCCTACCTTGAGGCGGGGTAGTTTGAGGAAGTCCTCCTGTTCAGACACCTCAAGAAGATGGTCTTGAATGAAAGCATCCACCTTGGCCAAAAGTCTGCCATCTCCCATAGAGCTGGTAAAGTTTCGGAAGGAGATGGCATTCTGGGAATCCAGTTTAGACAGCAGGTAGTCGCCACAAATCTGAGGCGTGAGGGTAAAAAAAAAAAAGGGTATGTATTTAATGATCACTTAGGGGTTTCTGAGAAAGAGCTGCAGGACATTTTGAAGATGCAAACCTGTTTGACTCGCTCCATCTTGAACCTTTTGGCTGCAGAGTATACGTCCTTCACCAGCTCCTTGTCCGCCTTCAGTCTGTGTTACACAAAAATGAAAAGGTTCATAACCCCCTTTATAAACCAGCGGAACAGAGATGAGCCAATACAGCTAATGCTTAAGAATAAAATAAAATAAACACAACAAAAGGGGTCACTGACTGGGCAGTGTAGGCGTAGTTCAGGAGGATTTCCACAGCCCCTGGGTCCAAGTCCTCAAAAGTGACATGCGAGACTCCATGAGGCTCGATATCACTATTAAAGATCTCAAACAAGTAGGGACTGCAACAAGCCAGAACAGCACGGTGAGCCATCAGCTCATGACCACACACCTGGAGAAAAAAATAAGAGGAATGAGTCAGTGTACCAGGGTACAAGAAGTATCAATTGTCTCTTTTTACTCAGAAGGCTTACACCAAATGTTTCTCCATTTATCCGCTACTCTACACCATGCAGTTTATCTGTTATGGTTCACAGGAGTGCCCCAAAGCTTCACAGAACGATTACAATGATCTGTAAGTGTTTGTGGAATATTCCCTACCTGCAGCCTCACATCACAGAACTGACCACTCTTTCTCAGAGCATTCATTTTGGCCACAGTGGAATCCAGGAAACTCTCATCCTCAAAGATCAAATAACCGTTTGGAATCATCTTGGTTGGTTTTAATAGTATTCCTGAAGAAGACAAAAAAAATACATTTGCTTAACACTTATTCCATGTTAAAAAATGATAAACATTAAGCATATATTTGCCCTGAACGTGCTTTAAAACTGCAGCACTGGTCATCAATGAACACAGACAGCTATTACAGAAAGAGGATTAGGATTAAGTGCTTGTAACGTGAATGGTGCATTATCCGCCCCATGAATTAGTCACAGCCTTACCGAATAGAGAATAATTCAGATCCAGGGAGAATTGCAGTTGAGCAGAACCAATTGTAAGAAAGAGGCAGAGAAGACAGAGATCACAGGGGAACTAAGTCTTCTTCACCCGAGGAGAGGGACGGGAAGTTGCCAGAGGAAATGCCAGCTGACTGCAGATGTGAGCACAAGGGAGAGCAACCCCACGGACAAACTATCAGGCTTCAAGCGACTGTAATCAAGTCCTCGGGATCCCGTTGGCTATAGAGTTGTACTTATTCTTTGTTGGTCATACATTATAACCTGAAAGGGAAACAAAAGAGAGGAAAGACAGGTTATAGTTTTTGTTCCATCATATTTGCTTCCATGTGTTAAGCTACAGACACAAGATGACAGTCAGAATTACCCCCACTCCTCCTGTTCCACCAAGCATCAAAAATAAAAAAAAATAAGCTCTTTCGTAAAGTGAATGAATGATGAAGGACATCTGTCCCTTCATGTAACACCAATCTGGGAATTACAAATGTAATCTCACCATATAACCCAGTGTGCTATAACCATCAACAGCCCAGCAACCCGATTTCCTTCCTTTGACACTCCTAACTTACGCCACACTCGGTTTAGCTCTTTAAATCTCCACCCATGCTGCTATATCCCAACAGGCCAGACAAGGCAGTTTAATCCATCTAGTCTTCCACTCCGTTTCTACTCTCTCTTCAGGGGCACCTTTTAAATGTTGTGTGAGGTGACAAGCCTCCAAAATTGGCTCCTCCTATTGGAACTATTTCATTAACAATCTGACATTAAAAAAAGAAACTACGAAGGAACCAATGGCTGACTATCTCCATTCCATCCGCAAAGAGCACCTCCATCATAAATTTCCCGTCAACAGTTTTATTTCCGACACTTGGTGAAAAATAGACCAGAGCAGCTGCCCTCAAGTCTGAAATTGAATCCATGTCGTGTCACGATGTTTGCCTGAACAGCCGGCCTCATTCTCGCATGCAAGTTTTGTGAGAATTCAAGTAATTAAAAAAAAAAACAGCATGCGATTTAATGTGCAAGATGGTCTGTGCAAAAATTCATGCCAAAAACCGATGGCCCTTATAACGGATAGAAATTTGATGTGTCCTCCGAAACAGCAAAAAATACTTATAAATGATGTATAACATGATACAGACATCATTCAAAGAGAGTAAATTGATTTTAGGGTATTGAAATGACAGAGGCTATAAATCTCATATATATATATATATATATATATATATATA